AAAATTCCACAACATAGTATCTTGCTTTGATATATTTTAGCACTGTTATTTTAATTATTAGATTAAATAATATTGTTTTGTTTTATAGATATATATAAATGTAAGATGGTTGTATTGTATACTTTGTATCTGGCCTTAGGGCTGTAATAAATGTGTGTGTGTAAAACTAACAATAGATGTTTCTGTATAGAATTTCCAAACCTTCTTTTCAAATTCTTTCCTTGCAGATGAAATGACCATTCCGGAAATGGCCTGATGGCCTTCAGATCAACTTCCTAAGAATTATAGGAGTTACTCCAGCACATCTGGAAGGCACCAGGCCAATAGAACCAGATTAGACACAGCCATTAATGTGTGTAATCTGGAGTCTAGTACCTACTTATTACCTATTTCTTTCTTAATCCAGCTGACAAAGAACTGGCAGATGTGACATCTACTATCCAACCTGGTTCTGCAGACAAACTGTTCAGCACTGAGGCCATGCTGAGGTAACAAAAGCCTAAAAGAGGGTCCTAAGGAGTCCCTAGCTAGTATCTCTCTCTCTTATTTTTTCTTAACTGGTTGGTGACATCTCAGGTTTTTAAGCCAAGTGATCTAGTGAAAAGCATGTTGGCTGAGAACCAGAAGACCTGCATTTGTATGAATTTCATGACGGGTCTTCATGAAAACAATCCTTACTTGAAACTCACGATTCTTCTGCAAAATGGAAATAAGACATTTAGAAGAAAGGGATGTACAAAAAGCTCTAGTCAGAACACATCAGTTCAGTCCCACTCTTGCAACACTGTGAGAAATTGTAGAAAAGCTGGGAAAGGATTGTAAGGGAGAGTAGAAATAAACAATCAGGAGATAAAAAGCGAGCCCATTGGTGGTTTATTTCATAAGTGGCAACTCAGTCCAGGTGGTGAGTAACCTGGGAGGAAGCATTACAAATCATTCAAAGAATTTCTTCTTTAATTAATCCACTGATTATTAATTAATCTGATCAATTATGTATTACTTATTATTATTATAAATATTCATTATTGATTATTATTACTGATGAACCCATGAGGCTGAAAAATTCCTATGACAGTTTCCAAGATTTTGTATTTACCTCTAACCTAGCAATAAAGACCCTTTACTGAAATCTGTGTCGGTCCTTCATCTTTCCCAGCTTCATGGGCTGAACACCCCACAACTATTTTTATGTTTTCTTCCAGGATCACCCCCCAGAGTTCAGACAACAAGCAACTGCTGACCTGCATTGCTGCTAACACGGTGACTTTAATACCAGTCATTGTCAGTTTCACCATGAACATCCTGTGTAAGTTGTTTGGAATGCTTTGTCAGGCATTTTACCCAGGATTAAGGTGGTGTCATCAAAATAACTGCACAAGTGCTCAAGGCAACTCTTATTACAGTGTTAATAAAAAACAAACACAAAAGGAAGTGGGCTGGGGAGAAAAAAAAGGAGGAGGAGGCTGGAAGGTAAAGAGATCACCCAGAGTAAATGTAATGAAAAGGGGGACAGGAACCAGAAATGCCATCTAAGGAGAGTAAATGGACAAGATCAACCAAGGGAATAATTAAGATGATGAATGGGTTTTGAGACCTTTCTCATAACAAGAGAAGGTCTGTATGCAATGAAAATGACTAACGCTGGCTGAATCTTTCATGTTTGGTTGGTCACCTTAAGGGGACATACTTTTAAAAGAGGGGCTGGCCATCTTTCTGTAGCAGATTAAAACACGAGGTGGGTTTTTTAAAAAAAAAATTTTTGGTGGCCCTGGCCACAATAGGCAGGGAAGGATGTGAATGGCACAAGTGGATGTTCTGCAGATTTTTTAGGGGGTGGGAGGTGTAGCCAGTGGCTTACCACCTGCTTTTCTTTTTCTTTCTGCTGCCAAACTTGGTAGGAAATTGGGTTGATGTGCTGAGTTCTTGGTGCTCTCTGAGCTTGGTTGTGGTCTTGCACATATTTTATTACCAGGCAAGGTCCCATCATCAGTCCCTCCACTGATGATGTTATCTAGCCTGGTAATGAAACATCTGCAAGACCATAACCAAGCTCAGAGAACACCTGCAACTCAGTAGTTCAACCCTGAGTTACATATTTTCTATTGAATTTGTGGTGATGGTTGTGCTAGGAATTTGCTACTCTATTTAGGTGGCTTGATCCTGGAAGGCCCGAGACTCTATAAAAATATGCTCAGGGGCTGCATGTGATTTATATGCTGCCCACCCCTGTTTGAAAAGCTTGCAAACTGCTCGAGCAGGGGCTTTTATGACTGGAGGTGGGAGTATATAATTTGGTATGTGGATCAGTGTCTGCTGTTCAGAGCTTCAGCTAACTCTCCCATCCCATCAAACTTTTATATTGTTATTTTTGATGTTGTAAATTCATTAGTAAATATCCTACCAGTGCACTAGAGCAGATCTCCAGGTTCCCAACAAACCTTGAAATTCAACATTTATATTGATTCTATTTACAGAACAACACAATACGTTAACAGTTGGTCCCACTTGGATGGGGAACCTGCTGCCCTCCAGGAGATGCTGAACTACACTTCTAAAAAGCCTGAGGCAGCCTGGATGATGGTTAAGAATGCTAGGAGTTGTAATTCAGCAACTTCTAATGGATGAAAGTTTCCTCATCCCTGGAATACAGATAAAGCTTTGGGAGGAAATTATAAGGTGTATCACGCAGCTGGGCAAGATGCTAAGAACTTCCAAAAGCTTACTGCAACCTCCCTGGACCTAAACTGATTTTGGTTCTTTTTGATAGTCCCACCTCAGCTGCCTGTAATCAAGGGCTACGTTGGACCTGTAGTAAAAAATAAGGAGGAACTAAAACTGACCTGCATTTCTCCAAGTGGGAATCCTCTTGCTACGCTGCAGTGGCTGAAGGTGAGCAGAAGAAGCTTAGTACAATATTTAGTTTTTTATTTATGGGGTGCTCTGTGAATAAACTCCTCAGCCTGGAATTCTGGGGTGGGGCCCAGCGAGAGAGGGCGCAATAATGACAAATATGTGGTTTTTTTGGTGGTTGTTGCAAGAATTTGTTACCTACTTGCTTCACTGTGTTCACATCAAAAATATGCCTGAGTTAGAATATTTTTATTTAATGGAATACAATTAAAATTTATCAGGTGTAGTTAAGATCCTTAGGGTCTGGCTAGATTTGCATAAAATGTTTAACCTGGTTGTTGAGTTAACCAATATGGTTGTTGTCTTGCAGCTAGGTTTGATTACCTGCCTATAACTAGTCTACAAATGGTTTAAGTTGTTGCTTATTACGAAGCCTCCTTTCTAATGTCTCCAGTTTATGGTTTTTTGACTCAGTGACTGGGCTCATAAAATGTGCTTAACTTGTTTCATTCCTTAGTCCATTCTGTGCATTTGCGTGTTGAATCCTACTAGGTTCATACACTACATTTCTCCGGGTTCTCCTTTTATGCCAAATGCTATCCAGTGATAAAACTGATCTTAACCACATTTGCATTCTCACGATAGGCTAAGTCTTTAATTGATTCACTTAAATATGTCTTGCAAACCTAGTCATTTGGGGCACATTTCATCCATTGGGAAATTCACCCAGGGGGGAATAATTCAAGGGAGTGGGGCATCCACCTTGTGCCAGGGGGACCACTGCTTCTAGGGGCTGCTGACCCTCTTCTCCTCTGTCTGGTTCTGCAGCTGCTTCATCTGCCCTCTCTCTGCACTTAGGCAGAGATACAACAGAGGGGAAGGGAAAATGCCTTTCAATTTCCTTGCCCTCTCCTTCTGTAGAGTGTTGCATTTACATATCATTAAAGAAAGAAACAACACTAGTTTGCATAACATTTACATGTGCAAATGTATATAGATAAATTAATGTAAATAGAAGTCAATATTTCTCACTGTCATGGGAGAAAGACCCACTGATTATCTGTTTGCTGGCCATGTATAAACTATGTTTGGTGGGCCTGGACTGGACAGCTCTTCAAACAGAGGATGCTTTCATATTATGGAGTGTCCCTTGTAAAGTAGGACCCACAATCCCCTGAGCTGTTACTTCTAGGCTCCCTGATTGGCCAGCCTCCACCCTTGAGCTGGGTGTCTTGCTGGGCATCTCAGCTGGGGTCTTCTGCCTTTCAGAATGATGAAGTCATCTCCAGGAACTGGGAGACAGATGATGCCAACCAATTGTCCCGAAGTGCCCTGAGCATGAAAATCACACCAGAAGACAACATGGCTATAGTGAGCTGTCAAGCCCTGAACCAAGTTTTATCTCTGCCCTTGCAGTCCAGCATTGTTCTGAAAGTTGTCTGTGAGTGTCGACCAGCTTCTTTTGCAATGCCGTTCCTTCTTCTCCCCATGCTTGTGTCTAAGGCTTTTTCTCCAGTTACTTTCTATAGCTGATCTCTCCATTTCTTCTTCCATTTCTTGTTTCTGCACAGATTAGGTGGTTCCTAGATGTATTAGACAATCCTATAACTCTGGCCTTTCAAAAAAGGAGAGAGATGCATTCTGAGGCCACGTGCCCTAACGTTCATTTTAAAAGCAACAGCTGTTCTTTTTGTAGGAGAGAAAGATATAGTGGGCATTCTGAAAATGTCCATTCCGTGATGTGGGGGAGGGTTGGGAAGTCTCTCCCAGGACAACTGATCTCTTTCTTTCTCTCCCTCAAATATTTCTGAATGGCAGTTCCCCCTGAACAGGTGAAAATCATAGGCTCCAGCAGCACTCAAGAAAACAGAGAGCTCTCCCTGGCCTGTTCCACCTCCACAAGCAATCCACCTGTGATGCTACGCTGGTGGCTGGGATGGAGGGAGATCAATGCTACTGAAGTCACCATTTTAGAGGTAGGCAAGATCAAAAGGCTGGAGGACCTTGAGGAAGTGGCATGATTCCCTTGGCAAATCTGACTCACCAGGAGACCAATTTTTCCTGGACACTGGGATGTTCATGGAGAGTGTTGGTTTGGTCCGTGGAGGAAAAGGCCCTCAAATAGCAAACTGGCTACATAGATACATTTCCCCCCTTCTTGGCAAATAATAATCACTGAGTAAAGTTTGCCTTCCTCTTACAGGCAGAGTATGGAGGAATGGTCACTGTATCTAATCTGACATATGTGGCATATCGAGAGGACAACGGTCTGCCCCTGATCTGTGAGGCCTTCAATGAAGCCATCATGTACACCAGAACTGCTTCTGTCACCCTCAGAGTAACATGTGAGGATAGGGATGGGAACATACAGGCAGCAGCAAGGTTGTGTTCTGTTTTAAGCCTCCCTTCTTCCTGCTAATTGGTTTTCCTTCCTTCCTATTTTTTTTCCCAGATCCACCTCAGAAAATCTGGGTTGATGTGCCACCACCAGAGACACATTTTCGAGCTGGCACTGAAATCAAACTCATTTGTTTTGCCAGTGGTGGGAACCCTTTGCCTCGTCTTGACTGGTACAAGGTAAGAAGAACTTTAACCTCCTCTTCTCCTTAGTGGTCCATGAGACCACTGCAAGTGTCCTTAGTGAAGGTACCAAGATCCCTCCCCCTCTATCTTAACCTCTTGGTGTCTGCACCAAGGATTCCTTGTATCTATAGCCTCTCTCTCACCATAATTTCAGACAAACTGCCAACTCTTGCAAGATTTTGGCATTCTTACTTAAAATCTCCCAAGATTTCAAGTCAGAATAGCCAAATCTCATGAGATCTGGCTGATCTACAAGATTCTGGTCTTTTCATTTGTTTAAAAAACAAATGAAATGAATTTTAAGTTCTGAAATCCCACCTTTGTCATTTGGGGAATATCATAGCTGCTGTGGTGCCTACAACTAACCTTTGGCTTACATCCATGAGTGCAAAAGCTGTTGATGACAGGGTAGCAGATCCCATCAACAAAAAGGAGGAAAACTGCTGCTACTCTAGCTCACGTTTTGCCTCAAAAATCCATTTCTATAAGCAAATCATCCCCATTGCCAAAAGTTGCAACTCTTTCCTGGAGAAACTATCTTTGCCTTGTGTGATCCTCTCTGGTTTTCAGGTTGTACAATACTCAGCCACTGCTTTATGTAAGCCATGGTTTATAATGGCTGGGGGGGGGGTTT